TAATAGAAATTTAGGCGTATTAGACTAAATATTATCGGAAATTTTTATTTAATAAATAATTCATCTGTTAATATATCAAGTTGAGTACCATTTGTAAATATTCGAAATGAAATGATATTTGTTAATAAAAATAAATATAGTAAAAAATATTTCATTATATTTATGTTTTACTATATTTTTAAAAAATTAATTTATTAATTAATGAAATATCCGAAAATATATTAAGAAATTAGGCCGATAGATTAGTTCAGAGGATATTCTTCTTTTTGCTAATATTGGGATTTATGACAAAAGTAAATTTCTATTATTCTTTGGCAAATTTGCTTGGTCCGATAGAACGATCAACAGAACGAGTCTAACTCATAATAATATAACTGAAAATAAAAAAAAAAATTGGAAATATTTATGATTAAATTACTAGAAATGATAATCGTGATAGTGATAAATTAACCAATCATTAGTCACATTTTATTCTATTTTCCTTGAATTTATTAAAAATTATTAAAAATTAAAAAATTTATAAGTCATCATGCCAATGCATTTTTTATAGCGAAATTTTATAAAAGAAAATGGTCATTCATTTGACGATAGAGAATATACGTTTATACGTTTCTATGAGAAGAGCGACCTGAATTTCATCGTTGATGACCATGAAAATGCTAAATTTGCTGATAGCTGAAATAATAAAAATAATAAAATAAAAATAAATAAAAATGATAAAATAAAGTTAAAATAAAGCAATTATTATTATTTTTCTAGCAAATTTTTTTTTAGAACAGTTTTTTCAATTTTTTAAAATAATCAATTTTTCTTTTAAATAATTAATTATTTATTCCTTTTTTACAAGAAAAAATTTAAAAAAATATATAAAAAGATTTTTTCACTATTTGTTTCACTTATTTTCTCGAAATTCATTTGAATACATCAAATAAAAAGCAATCAAATTAAAGTAGAAAAAATAAAAATTCAATTCATAAAAAAATAAGCAATGAAAATTGAATTATTTCTCGAATTATACAAATATAAGTCTTTTTTTTTAAATCGAATTATAAATATATTTTTAATATTTTTTCAATAATTTCAACAAATTTATTCCATAGACGATTGGAATTTTTTGGATTTTTCAAAAAAAAATTTTCCAAATATTTTAAATAATATATAAATTTAATATATAAATTCATTTAAATAATATATATATATTTAATAATATATATATTATTTATATTTTCCAGAAATTTAAAAGTTTTTAATATAAAAGATATATAAAATAATATAAAATATAAGATAAATGTAAAATGTAAAAATATAAATGTAAAAATAAAAATGTATAAAGTAAAAATATAAAATTTAATCATTAAATATAAAATGACAAATCTATAGAAAATTGAAGAACGAGCGAGAAACATAAAAACAAAATAATTTTCCACATATGCTCGTATGATAATTGATAGATAATTTCCTAGACGCTAACACTAATGATAAATAACGAGACACATGTCGAAACAATGCAATGCTATTATGTTAATATATATTTATCTAATTATTATCGCCTTCCAAAAATTAGTCCAAGCGGCAAAAAATAACTAAGAGAATAATAATTGTTCAAATAAATCGATTTGGCAATATATTCTAAGTAAAAATAAAAATAGTCTCAGCGAATATTTGGTTCAGCAAAACTCATTTTTCGGTTTAGTAACATATTAACACATAAAAAAATCCAAAAAAATTTCACCTTAATCAATAACAAATTCTAAAAAAAATAATGAAATAATTAAAAGTAAACAAAAATATTCAAAATTCCTGAACAAACAGAAAAATTCACCAATTAGTTGGTGGATTTTCCCAGTAAGTAAATACATCTTCTCAAGTAAGTAGTACGAAAGTAGAATGGCTCAGTGGGTTGTTGCTTAGTTCGAAGCGCCGATGCTGAGGTTCTACATCTCGCAGGAGTAAACCTGTCGAGAAATCAGACTGATGTCGGCGACCTATAATTCACCTGTAATTCTATCGTCAAGTGACTCGCTGGCTTATTTGTTCAGTGTGATAAGCCAGTGGAGCGAGTCTAACAGGAATGGCGAGGGTTTTCGAAGAAAAAAGAAATATATCTTCCTTGTTAGTAAATAAATCTTACGATTAATTCACCTAAGAGCTCCGCTTGCAACAACGTTCATCGTTCGTTTTCTTGCGTTTTTGACGTCAATAAACTTATCATTAAAAATGAAATCCGCATGGTGCTGGGAACTCATATGTACTGCTATTCCCTAATGTCTCTTCGCTTATAGGGATCTATTAAATTTCTCTAAAGAAAAATATAACAATATTTTAGTGAAATTCGTTTTCGAGAATTGGACTACTTTTTTTTTTCATTTAATCGTAAGCAAATCATAATCCACGTTTATTAGTCAGTCTAAGGCTAATAAGGCTTAAGGCTAAAAAAAGGAAAATGAGCAAAAATAAATTGTGAGAAATCCTTAAAATTTTGATAATCTTATCAATTCAACAATAGTGATTAAATAAATAATATTAAATATATATTAAATATATTAAATATTTATTTTATTATATATTTATTTATATTTATTTATTATGATTAAATATATTTAATTTTCATATTAATATAAAATGAATTCGTTAAATTTTTTATTGCTTTGCTTTGCTTTGCTAAGCCAAAATTTACTTAGTGAAACGTTCATTAAACGAAAGAAGAAAGAAATTTGACGAAGAAAAATATGCTCTATTTACATAAACTAGAAATTTTCGGAACAAAACATGAATTAAATCAAAATCCATTCCTTTAAAATAATCTTTTCGATGCAAAACGATTATTTATTAGAATGTCTTAAGAGGGATCGGATGGCTTAGTGGATTGTTGCTCGATTGGGAGCGCCGATACTGAGGTTCGATTCCCCGCAGGAGTAAACCTGTCCAAAAATCCGGGTGATGCTGGCGATTCACCTGTATTTCTATCGCCAAGGAACTCTCTGGCATACCTGTCCAATGCGACAAACCAGCGGAACGAGTTTAATCAGCAATGGTGAAAATTCTTAAAAAAAAAATCTCGATGCATAACAATTATTTATTAGAATGTACAAGCACAAGTTTACCAAGAAATAAAAAATTTTTTTTCACAAAATCTACGTGATTTTTTACGTTTTTGTACGTGAATTTTTTCTTTCAATTTTGTATTTGATAAAAAAATGATAAAGTTTATCTTATCAAAATAAAATATAAAATTCGCTTCGGTTATTTGTTGTTTAAACGATTGTTAAGAATCCAATTATTTGTATTCATTGGCGAAATTTAAAAGGCGAAATGTCGGAAAGTTAGAAATTCGATGGTTTCCAAGAAAATTATCCAATCAATTTGCCTTTTTAGTAAAAATTGCAATTATTTATATTTTTTTCATATTTTCGTATTTTAACTAAAAACAAAAATCGAAAGTATTTTTAATTTAAAACGAAAAATCATTAAAAAAATATAAAAATATTAAATCGAATGAATAATGGAAATTAATGCAAAATTTAATTAAAATAAATGCCATTTTAATCAATCAAATCAAATCAAATAATAAATTTATGCAAAAAATAGAAATTTTATTTATTTATTTTTTTTAATGACAATTTTTGCTTTTTTTTTAAAAAAAAATATTAAATAAATAATTCGTTGCTTTCAATCGAAAAAAACCGACACATTTCGCTAATAATAATATATAATTTTAATAAATCTCATAAATCTGCATTAAATCATTGAAAATCTCTCATAATTCGTCTATTATTCATGTATATTTTAAATATTTTTTATTATTTTTTTTATTATTTTGATATTTTTAAATTTTAAGGAGAAAAATTCAAAATATTTGGTCTCAAAACGAAAATACGGTGACCGTATTTGGTATTAACTATTATTGGAATTTAAAGTTTGATGATTTTTTAATGAATTTACTGGTGCACTTGAATATATTGATGGATTGTTTTGCGTGATTACGTGATTTTATACGTTTTCTTTACGTGAACTTAGTTTTCTGTCATATTTCACTTAATTCATTTCCGATTTGAGTTTAGCTTTTATTTTGTTATTTTTTGAACAGAATTCCATTTAGTATATTATAATTTGCAATTTTTTTTTTTCATTAATGAAATATAATCGTTACTGAAATTAATTTCAGCAATTTCAATAAATTTAACATAAAAACATGTAAAAGTAAAATTTATTCCATTGTAAAATAAGTAAAATTTGTTAAATTTATTTTTCTTACACTATAATTTTTCGGCTTTTTTTTTCATTTTTATTTTATTGCTGCGAGTTTTTATTTATTTTGCAGTATTTATTTCCATAGTATTAATTTGTTTTGCAAATTTTTTAGTTAATTTTATGTGCAACATTTAAAAAAATTTCATAAGTAATTTATAAATTTCGAGAAATTTTTATTTCTTTCAAGTTTAGGCTTAGGATTTTGGCTTAAGCTTAAGCTTAGTAATCTTAGTAAAGCCGAACAAATCTTCGATTAATCTTAGTAAAAAAGAATTCTGTAATGAATTTATATTTTTAGAGAAATCTTTATTGTTTTTTTTAAGTATATTTTTCAATTTTCCACATTTATCGCCGTATTCATTAAATCATAAATTGCTTTAATTGAATGAAAACGAATTCATTTCTCGTCTACAAACACGAATAAAGCTTTAATTAAAATTAAGACCTACCAAATGCTTCAGAGTTGCTGTCTGATAAAAAATCTCATTCTTCTATTCAATGCAGCCAGTTAGAAGTTATTCAAAAGTTTCATACCAAAATTAATATTTTCTTTCTTCCCGATTTTTTGAATTCCATCTCTAACATTAAGAATTTTGCTCGGATTCACCAAAAGATATAACAGCAGCTTTTATTAAAACTTTTTTTTTTTTAGCATTTTGCGAGAATTCCACGCTAATTTCATTTCATTTTTTGCTGCAAAAAAATTATTCAAAATCTTAAATTTAAGAATTCGATTGTGCTAATGGGGAATGATTCGACGTCTGATCACAAATGTTGGAGATTTACGAGTACGACGAGTGAATTTCACTATTTCTCTTCCACTGCGTTGTCGATCATCTTCTAAAATTTATTATTACGGAATACGCATTTTATTTGCTTTAATAATTTTTGTCGTTTTTCTAGCTTTTACACTGCCATCAATTCCTAGTTTTATTGATCATGAATTCTATCCAGATGTTGGTTCAGTTTCATTTCGGTTTGTCTTTTATATTGCAATTCTAATTCTAATTTAATTAATTCTAATCAAATCTAACTGAGTTCGAACGATTTTTTTTCGAACGAAATTTTGAAATAATTTTTTCAAATTTTTTCTTTTTTTTTGAAATTCATAAAAATTCAATTTTCTTGTTGCATAGATTCCTTATAATGTAGTTAGTTTCAACTACCTTTCATTTGTTTGATAAGGGTATCGTTAAAAGTGGAAAAATAGTTAACTCTCTCCCTAGTCGATTTTTGGCAAAGGAATTTCGCTACCTTAATCCACGAAAATTTATGAATTAAAAATGGTGTATTTATAAGGTGTTAAAAGAGAAGAAGAATTTTTCTTTGCAAATATCAGTTTTTACCATTATTTTTTATATTTTTTATATTCCAGTTTGAGGAGTTATTATTTTCAAATGTCTGCAATGGCAGGATAGTTTTTAAATACGTCTTTCAAGGTAGCTTTTATTTTAGATTCGTGTCAAAGTCTGACGAGCTTTGTCCATGGAGATTGACGAATGACGAAGCGCGTGTGGCTGAACTTAAGCGAATTCTTTCTTCTGTTCGTCGCGAATTGCTTGCAGCTTCAAATCAGCTTCAGTCTATTAATGCTGAATATGAATTTTTATCTAAACAGGTTTTTGATCGAAGTATGCATTTTTTAAAATTAGTTACTGCAATTCTAATTTATTTTTATATTTCTATAATTATTAATGATCAAAATCACTATATTCTAAGCAGAATAATTTTTTAATTAATTTTTTTCTTTAATTCTTGCGGTTTTTCAGAAAATGAATTGAAAATTCTTCAATTGGAAATAGAAGAAAGTAAACTTCTTCAAAATGAATTACGTGATAGAAATAATATACGTGTTTTCCTTCCGTTGAATCCATTTCAAATACATTCCAATGATCCCAGTGATTTTAATCAACAATTCGAGAGTTTTACTAGGCATGCATCAGTTAAAATCGATAATTTTATAGACACATCTGAGTCATCATTTGAATCCATTTTTGACTTCAGGTTTATCGCTTTAATTTTTCTAGAATTTTTAAAAAATGAGTTTAATTTCACTGCTCTAACTGGAATGTGCTTAGGCATTTAATTTAAATTCCAGTGGTTATTTTTATATCCATCTTAGAGATTTTGTTGATCATGTAAGTTTTTTATTTTAATATATATTTATCTAAATGTATGCAAATTTTTTTACCAAATTTCAGCCGTTGTTCGATCGCTGGTGGATTCATTTTTTATTTTTATAATATAATACCAGTGGAGTGGTCAGAATTAGCTTCACAATATATTCGATATATCGGGTAATATTTTATGTACAGATTAACAGTCATATCTTCATTTGCACCGAATAAATTGTTAAAATTTTTGAAAAAATTTGTATCGCTTTTTATTTTTTGATTTGCAGACAAAGTGCAGAAAAGACATCGAATCCGAATGAGGCTTGTCTGAAAGTAGCTGTCATTGATTCCACGATTAATCTCAACTCATTACCATTTTGGAATTCAGGCGTAAATCATGTTATTTTAAATTTGGGAAATCAATCAGTAACAAATTATTCTAAGGCTATCGTTGTTTCTCCAAATTTTTCGAAAGGGTATACCATATTTATATTTTTTTGCACATGAATTTTTTTTGCAATTTTTTATGCATTTAATTCGACTGTCTCTATTGATTATGCATTTAATATTCCAGAACATTTACTTCAAGTTCTGCCTAGGAGTCTGGGTAAAGATATGGATCTTCACAAAACTTTTTTTTTAATAAGTGTTTTGCTGTTGTTTAGGGGTATGATATTCAGAAAGATTGTTTGAGAACAATCGTCTATATTGGCTGTTGGTTTAACTATTGGCTTTTTTCGGAGATATATTTTTAAACTATTTCGTCCCGTTTCAGATTTGCATTAAGCTTTTTTTTATCACTTTTTTTAGAAGTTATCGCCATGATGTCGACTTTGCCATAATGTTACGAGTGCCTGATTATTATAAAAACGAATGGAAACGATTACCTTCCATATTACCGTTATCACGCAAGGTTTTCGAAAATTTTTATTTTTATTCATTTATATTAAATATTTTTTTAATTTTACGTATTGTTTTTATTGATTTTTTAAATATTTAAAATATTTTAAATTTCTTATTATTCTTTTCTTTGGCCTTTTCGGTTTTAAATTTTTTAATTATTTCCAATTCCAATTTTTCTCTACCCTCTATCTAAGCTTCAGTTTTTGCTTGTACATGTTGGGTCAATCTCACGTGATTATATGTACTTGCGTGAGGAATTCGAGCGTTTTGCAAGGCATGCTTCCCAAATGGGTGATGAAACATTTCTTGAAGTTGACTGTACTTCAGATCTTTCTATGTGCAGGAATCGTCAGCGAAGAGGTTCTTTTCTCTGGTCTTTTATTCAATTTTTTCTTTTATTTTTTTCTCTTCTTCTAACAGCTCTCACCTGGTTAGGCTGGCTACACTAATACAAGAGTAAATTTCCAAGCGGCGCGGTCTGATGCCATCGTCGAGAGTAATAGAAGCCATTTCTTTTTCCATCGTGTAGGTCCATATATTCCTGACCGTATCAGTCCAGGTCTTGATTGGCCCATCCAGCTATCACAGGGTTTAGCAAGTAATGAAATATGTCAACTGTTGTGGTGGGTGAAAGAACATAACCAGCAAAGGCGATGCTCTGTGGTGTTAATGGAACCGGTATTTAAACGAAGGTGGATGGCGATCATATTTTATCCACTCGCTGAATCCGTAGAATATAACATGAATTGTCAAAGAATGACAACTTCTTAATATTCTCCACTGTCATTGGCCATGTCTCACAGCCATGTAGCAACATCGAACAAATCACGGCTATATAGATGCGGACATTCGTTTTTATGGATTTTAATTTTTTCTCTAAACACATTTTTAAAAATTCAAATTCCTTTTTTCGACTTTTCTTTTTTTCTATTTTGGCTATTTATTTTTAAATATTTTTAACATCCAAATTAATTTCATATGAACATATTTTAAACTGAATGAGATTTTTATTTCAGCAAATTTTTATGGAAAATCTACATTTGCATTGATTCTGCCTTCATTGGACACAGATTCTTCTTTTGTTTTCCATGAGCAGTTACTTGATGCTCTTGAACAAGGATCTATACCCATAATTGCTTCACTTCGTGTACCACTGCCTCTTTCGGATCTCATCGACTGGCGTCTGGCTGTTTATAGATTAGCGCCACAGAGATTGCCGGAACTTTATTTTATTCTGCGATCATTTTCTCCTTCAGATATTCTTGAGATGAAGCGTCGTGGTCGATTCATCCTGCAAAATTATTTTTTAAATACTAGAGGTTAACTCTACAAAATATTCTTCTTGGCTTCGAGAATTAAAGAAAATTTTTTTACTTTAAATATTAAAAACATTTTTTCAGTGGTTGCTGCCTCATTAGTATCAGCACTTCGTCACCGCATCGGTGTTCCTGGTGAGAAAGGAGCTGATGTTGCTGCTGAGCCTCTCTTTGGTGATTCATACATTGCACCAAAATTGGTACCAAGTGGAGTACCTCAGTTTGAAGAAGAATATTTAGGTATACTAAGCCTTATCTATTTTTTCATCCAAAAATTTTCTTTTCGCTTTTTTCTCTTTATTTTTTCAGGCCCACCAGAAGCACCCCATAATTCTCCAGCATACACCCACAATTTTACATCTCTTCAAATGGTAATGCTGCATGCGAGTTTTACTGTTGTATCGTTATTGATTGAAAGGTGTCAGTTGAGATGATATTATATTTCAATGATTTATTAGGAATTTTTCAGTACTCCTATCAAATCTGGAATGGAATAGGCGCAGTTGCAAGTAGATCACTAGAGTTTCTTGCTTTAGAATCAGCATTCCCATCAGAATTCGAATTTGGCGAAGGTGCTTCGCTAGGTTTTCGACCTATATCACCGGGATCAGGCATTGAATTTTCTGTCGCATTAGGTGGCAATCGAATACGCGAACAATTTACTGGTACTTGCTTTATACATTTATTTAAAAATCTTTCCACCAGTGTCTTTCAAGAGTGTTATAGCAGATTGCAATTATTTATCGATATTTTTCAGTACTTATGCTAACTTATCAAAGAAATGCTATATTATTTGCCTCACTGGAAAGGCTAAATAATTTGCCATATCTCAATAAAGTAATTTTTTGGCATTTTCAAACAATTCTCTGAGATAAGTGAAATTTTTTTCAACAAATTTCAATTGATTAAATGTAAATAAATGCAAAATAATAGAAATTTCCTCATCACTTTATGTGCTATACAGCAAGAGAGTTTTCCTAGAGAATCAAAGCTAGAAATATAGGTGGATCCTTAGTTAGCATTTCTCAGATTTGTTTAATGATGGGTTTTCTGTTGGAGGAAGTGTCCGGATCTCGGCTTTTAAAGCAGTGATATGAACAAATACTAATCGACCACCCTTATAAAATGTATCAGTTGCTCAGTTAAGTTGTAGGTTATCGTCATATGGAATGGTGGAGAACCTCCGCAGGAAAAGGCATGGCCAAGATTGCACGTTCCTGTTTTCTTCATCAAAACGCGGTCAAATTCTCTAAACAATCGTTTTTTACCATATAAGCAGGTTACTTTCGGATGAATATATTTGATTCAGAAATTAATTTAATAAATTTTGTTCATTTTACATTTCAGATTGAAACTGAAGCGGTCTTATCAGTTGATGACGACATTGATCTTAAACAACATGAGATAATTTTCGCATTCAGGTCTGTTTTTATAGCTTATAATTTGCTTTATATTCAATTATCCTATCTTATCTTAATTATTTTTAATTTTTTATTCAGAGTTTGGAGAGAAAATCGACAGAAAATTGTCGGTTTCCCAGCTAGGCATCATGCTAGATATGATAATCAAATGTATTACAACAGTAATCATACATGTCAATATAGTATGATATTAACTGGAGCTGCATTCATACATAAGGTTTGTTTGTTTATTTTTCATGATTTTCTTGATATGTATATCTCATTGATGAGATTTCAGTCATATTTCTATGCCTATACTTATGGAATGTCGGAAGTAATCCGTGAAAAAGTCGATGAATTGATGAACTGTGAAGATTTAGCTATGAATTTTTTGGTAGCTCATCTCATTAGACAACCGCCAATAAAAACGACTAGTAAATGGACTCTTAAGTTTGTTCTTTTTTTATCAATATTTCTTCTATTATTATACTAATACTATTTTGTATGTGTTCATATATATCTCTAACTTATGGACCATCTCTAATTTGGCTATGCTATAAAGATCCAGGTTACTTGGGTTTAGAAAATGCAAATGGATCAACCAGCAACTTTCATTAATTTGGTATTTTTGTTTCTGCAATTATTCCGTCGCGAAAAGTTCGATTTTTTTCACACAATAATCGTGCAATATATTTCGAATTATTACAGATGTTCTGCTTGTCCGGAAATGCTCTCGCAAGATCCTTCCCATTTTTTGGAACGTCATGATTGCATACGTTTTTTTACTCAAGTTTATGGATATAATCCACTTCTTTTCTCTCAGTTTAGAGCTGATTCAGTTCTTTTCAAGACCCGTCTTCCTCCTAATCATCAAAAGTGCTTTAAATTTGTGTAATTTTGTCATAAAATTAATTAATAATTAAATTAATTAATTAATATTAATGTATTATAGATATAATAATAAATGAATTACGATCATTCATTTTTTATTTTGCTATAACCACAAAATTGGTGTTAGCTGGTTTTGTTCAATGGGAATTTAGTTATACTAAATTCTAGTTTGGTTGATTCTGGTGAATGTGGTAATCATTCATTACTTGGTAATAGGAAATGGTGCTTCTTTCCATGTATTTCATTTAGATTTCATTTTTAATGATAGGGAATGCTAGAGAAAAAAATGATATTTAATCATCATGGCCGTGGCCATATATCTTTGGGCCCTCCTACTTTCACTTTTAAGGTTTTCCATTTATTGACTATTAATAAATGATTTATATATGTTAAATATGTTATCACTAAAATTTATCTGAATTTTATATGCACTGTGGAAACGATTTTAGATTTTATATGTGCAATCCTGTTTTTGTGGTCTTTTTTCCAATGTTTTTATCGCATTTATTATTACAATAAGCCTTTTCATGCATTTTTCTCCCAGTCGATTGTTCGTTCCGTGCAATATAATTTGTGATAAATATCACAGTGCCATTTTTTATAATTTATACGTGATGTTGTAGAATGTTGGAATTTTCATTGTTTTCCAAATATTATTATCTTTCAAATTTTTCCTTGCCAATTGTATATTATGGATCTATTAATCAAAAATATTTCTTAAAATTTCCCTTAATTTTTTTTTATTGGGCAATAAAAGATGATATTTTATGTAACCAAAAAGCTTATCCACTAGATGTTAAATCTTGCGAAATGAAGTTTTGCTTAAATCTGACTTTATTCATCTAAAATATGGGAAATTTTTATTTTCGTAGGAAAAAAACTATGAAATTTCATTCATCTGAAAAGGAATAAATCTTTCCAATAAAAATATAAAAAATTTTGGGGAATTATAGAAAGCCAACAATGAATAAACAAAACATGGTAAAGAAAAACCAATATGGATTATATTCATGGAATATGGATTATGACCTATTATTAATAATGAAGCTGGAAAACAAAATAGCCAAACAAAATAAACCAAAACAAAAACCGCAGAAGCTAAAAATAGACCAACAAGATTTCATTTTATCCACCAAGCTGTTGGTATAAGAGCGGCACATAGTTGTCCCACTGAGCCTAAAAATAATTTTAAATGAAATCCAAGATATGTAAAATATTTTGCGCAATTCGGATTACACTTTTATAATGAGTTCCGGGACGAATATATTCAAAAATAATATCCTGCAAAATTAGCCCAGAAATATATATTTGTAGATCGCGAAAAAGACGACCGTCCCATTTTCTATCAATAATTATCATCAATCATATTAATTAATAATGAAAGACATTCATGAAAATTAAGTTTCTTAATGGTAATATGACTCCAAATTGCTTAACGTACCTGATAAAAATTGCCAGCGATAGGATTACCGAGATGGTGTTTCTTCGCAAAATCAGCGATTTTAAAACCACCACGGTTGGCACCTGATCTGTTCGTTAAATGGCCATGATCTGTGTCGGTGATTTTCCCTGGTTGCTTATAAACAAGGTACACATAGCGATGAAGACCTGAAATAATACAGATGAATCCCATTTCAAAATAAAAATAAAAAAACACAGCAAAATATTCGTAAATTTGTAAATAACCTGTGGATTTTGGAGGACCAGAACCAATATATTCAGATAGAACATCACCTTTGCTAACATCCTTACCAGGAATATTGACAATAAGCCTATAAACCTGCGAATAAATATCAAAAACATCTGAGTATTTGATTCATATTTTCTAATGAAAAAATGCTTATTAGTTGCTAAATTAGCTTGAACTAATAATAATTTTGAATAGATGGGCCAGTGATATATGGACAATAAAAGGTTTTTTCCATTTTCATATATAGCAGATATGTCAGAAGACATCGAACTTATTCTTGCAGCCAGTGCAGCCAGCCTAACCAATATTAGAAAAAGAAGAGGAAAAAATAACTGATCCTAAAGGAAAGTGCAACAAAAAAAGAAATGCAATAAAAGAAGCCATAAAGACAAACCAATGATGCCACTCTCTAAATGTTGGTGTCGCACGACTCGGAGCATCGGGATCTTATAAAAAATTTCAATAAGTTCATCTTCCATTAAAATAAAAAGATTTTCATATAAATTTTTTTATTTTCCCCTAACAATGGTACAAATATTTTTTGTACCGCCAATAACCGAAAACCAAAAACTAACCGATTTTATTATTTCTGTTTTAGTATTTAATTCATAATTTTATAAAATAATATTAGATATAAAATAATATTTAATATAATATTTTTGAATTTTTCGATTTATGAATAATTAATCAATAATTTAATAAAAAAATAGCATCGAATAAAAATATTAAAAAAATGCTTTAAATACTCTTGAGAAAACACACATAAAAAAAAGGTTTATATATACTTATATTGATAAAAAATAACTTCTCTTACAATAACTGAAAAAAGAAATTTCGATGAAAGTTTCAAAGCTATTCACCGGTCATAACAAGCGTATAAAGCGAATTATTTTCCGCTTCCCATGAAATATTATTTGGCGGATTTTTAACCTGTGTTGGAGTTAATTCGTTGCCAAGCGAAGCCTGAAAATATCAAATAATTTATTAGCGAGAAAAAAAGAATGAAGAAAGTTAAACTTATAGAGGTAACCACCGAAAGAGAAAATGACTAACTATAGCTACAATAATTTCCTATAATACGAAATTTGTGGTACCAAGACAAATAAATCATCAGTTTGACTTCGGTAAACTCAAAACATACTCTATTATTGTAATCTCGTCTCCTAACAGTTGCAAATCCGCTAGCGACTCACCTAAACCTTTACCGAAAAGTGGTATTTTGGTGAAAAAAATGGGTAAGTAGAATTCAGTAAAAGTGAAAGTGAATTTTTAGAAGAAGAAGAAAAGAGAAAAGCCAAACCGAAACGCCACTATCAAATGATACTTGAAGCAGTTGTGTTGGTGCAACACTAACAACATCCGGTACCACGTGGTGATTCTTGAACGCATCGGCAACCGACATTGACGACGTCGAACAAATCCTTAAATATTTTCCCATTTTTTTCTCTAATAAGGCTTAAAAATTTGGAATTTATAAATTGAAAATATCAACGGTACTTTTGAGACAAAAAATTATTCATACATATTTTTACTTATCTAAAATTTTATTTTAGTTATTTTAAGTTTTAAATTTTAATTTCAAAATTTTTTTTTCTTTTTTCCAAAAGCTTTCACAAGCATTTCTGGTGAAATTCGCTCCACTGGTTGGTTCCTCTCCGACCAGATAAATCCCATAGGTGACCGTCACCGTCACCGCCATTTCTAATTTTTATTATATGAATTTTTATTATAAAAAAATGAATAGAAAAATTTTATTCGATTATTTAAAATCAGCAATAAGTAAAAATATGCAAAGCACGTTCGATGAACTCTAATAGGGCAATTTGCCAAAAAAAGAATTTGTCAATAAATGACAAAAATAAAAAAATCAATAACATTGACAAAAATACCACTGATTATTGTCAAATTATCAGCATTATTAAAAAACAATAAAAATTCATAAAAACTTTTTTTTAAAAAAAAATTTTCATAAAATTAAACTTACAATTTATTGAAATGAAATAAAAATATAGAAAATATAAAACTATGACAAATAGAATTCATCGTAAAATAAATAAATAATGCGATAAGAAAGGCAGTGAAAAGTGTAAAAGGTATAGGAGAAAGAAAATAAGAAAATACGACATGCGCAATTGGAAAATTTTTATGAATAGTGCGCGCGCAATTGGCCGACATTCTTGACAACATTTTCGTACCTATTTTATTCGGACGTTTTATTATTTTTAACTAATGCAATATCTGTTGGCTTTATTTATAATGTGAAATCACCTGATAAACATATAAAACACTGAAAAAAATAAAAATAAAAAAACAACATATACCGACAAATAGCATCCGTTCTTAGAATTTAGAAGAACGGCCGTTTGACCTCGATGACCACGCCTGAGGTCATGCCAAAGGTCACGCCAGAGGTCACGCCAAACGAATATTCAACACTCAACGCTTGTACCTAAGTTTTATTACCTGATGCTGTTCTGCAAAATGGCCGAAACTTTCGTCACGTAACGAGTCAATAACACCATCGCTTAGAGAACAGCCTTCAATCGATAGATAAATGATCAATAAAGCGAAAGACAAACTAAATAGTATGAATTTTAGAGAGACGATAGTACATGTGGAGCAAACACGCAGTGAACGAAAGACCTTATTTTTTGTTGTTATTATTTGCAAAATATAATTTAATTTAATAAAGAAAAATGGTTTGGTGGTGCAAATGGTGACGGTGCACTGGATTTATAAGAGGTGACAAAGGTGAGAAGACAATTGCACCCGCCTCGTTTGCTAAAATATTCATCCTCTACACATTACAAAAAGATAATTAAATACATGAAATTCAACTGTGCTTGGTTCTTATTTCTTATCTCCGGTGAAAGATTGGTTTTGAATAAATTTTAATAGACCAAATGAAGGACACACTGCTTATGACCTGACAAAAATCAACAACCTACGATTGCGTACCTTCTTTCTTCATGCACCATTACTGATTAGACTGGTCATGCTGTCATCGCCATCATAGCGTTTAGCAAATAACGAGTTATGCGTCAATGCGCTGCGATGGGCGGCGAAGAATAAATATGATGGCCTAATCAGCAAAGACGAACGGACGAGTCCATAACCGTGCGTCATCGAAGAATTTTAAAAATAAACGACAAACGGAAACTTCGTGTAAATGAAGGATTAGTCGCCAGGCCAAATGACCAACCAGAATCTCAATAAAATAACGCAGTTTTACGTGAATGTCACGAGCGAAATTTATGAAATGAACGAAGTAATTCGAATGGTGTTACGCATTTCACGTAACTTGTTAACTCGTCATGAAACGTGTCAATTATGCAAGGACGCTCGATCTTCTTTTTCTACGTGGATTTGTGGATATTTGACAAGTGGCAGAAAATTTAAGCTAGTGTGGATTTCATTTTGGTATATTTCGCATATATTAATGCGACACCCAAGAATGGTGTAAAATAAAGAAAATTTGCTGGTCGTTGTTTTCACCAGTGTTTGCCGTCCAATGCGACAAGCTAGCGGCGGAACGGGTTTAACCAGTAATGGTGAGAACTCTAACTATATTTAATTATTGCTATGGCTTTCATTTCTGGCTGGCCCGACTTTGTTAATCACAGCGGTTTGCTTGTTGTCTCCATAGAAAATAACATAAAATTCAATCACCATTGCTCGAGCAAAATGAATTGTAGCAAAGAAGAATTGGCTGAGTAAATTACTTTGGCTGAAAAATAATACAACTATATAAAATTTTTTATACAAATCATTAGCCCAGAGAATTGTAGCAAAAACATGCAATCCTGGCGTTTAAATTCTGTATTCAAGCAGCCATACAATGCATGATGAAGGACACAGTGCTTCATCGTTTGCCATTACTGTTGTGTTTTGGCGGTCCTGGATTAACGCGGTAAGCATTTGCCCTGAAATGATGCCTCAGCGTTTGCCATTACTGTTGTGTTTTGGCGGTTCTGGATTAAAGCGGTAAGCATTTGCCCTGAAATGATAGGTTAACAAAATGGTTAAACTCGCAACTCGTCGAGAAAACTATTATTTTAAATTAAAATAATAAAAAAATAATAAAAGTTAAAAATGAAAAAGTATTAACGCAAGAACAAGAGCGTTAAGAGGTACTTCCGAAATTCGAGTAGAAAAAATAACCGGATGTTTGTCCTTAAAAGCTGACGGAGATAGCCTTGGTCGAGCAACAGCAATTCCAAGGCATTTATTTAGTACCACTCCTTTATCCTCAACTGCACCACTTGGCACCAGAGCGAGTATGATTAATAGTGAAAACATCTCTAATTTATCAACGCGCTTTTCTGTGGAAGCAACAACGGATATCAGTGGATGTGAAGTGGTTTCACCTGTTTATCACGAAGCTTTAATTATTATCCATTATTATTTTTCAATTCTAAAATTATCAACGATTATCTTTCTTTTTTATGAATTTTTCGCTATTTGCCCTTATCTAAACAATTTTTCTATTTCATAATTTTATTCTATTTTACCAAATTCGTTCTAAAAAAAAAACGAATGTTTTATTCATTATTTGCTACCGTATAATTTCAATTAAGTTGATAAATTGATTTTTTTAAATAATTTAAATAATTAAAAATTAAATAAGTAATAAATAATTAATAAATAACTCATAAATATTTTGTGTGGAGAGGGAATAGTTTAGCTGCCTATTTTATTTTTCAACGCCAATGCTGTGGTTCCCTTTACGTGGAACTTCCAGTAGAAGTAAATATGTTTTCACAAAATCCGAATGGATAAATGGCTCACTCGTAATTCACTCGTAATTTGTATCTCTAAATTATTCGCTGGCAAAATTGTATGGTTCGAGAAACGAGTTTAATCAGTAATGATAAAAGAAATGATAAAATTATCAATATTTTAAGTAAATTATTATAAACCTAGTAGTTCATTTTGTTCATTTCATATTACTATTTATTATTTATTTACCGATTAGATTTATTTGAATTGAAAAAAATCTCGAAAAGAATAATTTTTTTTATGGAACTTTTTCATTTATAGGCTTTAATTGCTCGAATAAGTCGATTCTAATTTTTACTACGGTGATTTCAAGAATAAATAATTGGCAAAAATCTGTGTTTCTTCGCAAATTTTCAATTTAATTTTCCTCTTACCATTTTCCATTGTTATTAATAAATAATTCGCTAATATTTTATATGGATATGCTCAACTAATAATTCGGATTTACCACTCATGCATGCCTCACCGAAAGTAACATGCAAGACTACTAACAGAGATAAAACGATTTTAGAAGAACACTATAAGAATCAAATAGCCAATTGGATTGCAATACGTTTATTAATATCATGCTTGAAGCTGCGGTTAATCTGGCAGTTTTTCAGAGAAGTAAAATAAAAACTGGCGATTGGAATTTATGAATATTTTACTATTCTAATACCAGGCATAAAATGAATGAAAAAGAGCGTTTTACATTTACATGAACCGAAAGAATGTTACAGTAACTAAGCGTCATAATATTCATTGTTATTTTTATAAACAACTGTCGGTAAAAAAACCAATTCATTAGCGGATCCAAGATCCGTGATACTCTATTTAGGATTGGCTTGAACATTCCTTAAGAGATGAAAAGCAATTTTGAGAAGATAAATCAGTCCGCTACATACATAATGTTGAGCCAATAACAAGTAGGATCGCCTCTGAAGTATTGCCACAATTCTCCAGAGCTCTACCTTATCTACTGGAACGAAGGAATGAAGGAATTCGACAGAACGAGTGGAGATGATTTAATCATAGCTGAAATAAGAATAATCAACCTAATTTAATATTTTTTCGAGATAAATTTTGTCTTTAAGCTTATTTTTCTTTTTATTTTTTATTTTATTTTTCCCTCTTATTTTATTTTCTTTCTCTTTTGTTTCTCTGTATTTTGACAAGAATAAACCTGTCATGGTTCCAAAAAACGTAGTGATTGTTAGGGATCACCTACAACTCTATCCCCAAGTGACTCTGTGGTAAAAGGATCCAGTCTTCAAGCGCATGATGCTCCCAACCAGGCGATATGTGCCATAAGTATGCAATCCTACTATAGTAAAAATCCCAAGACTTGCGAATAAGAAATATTCTCGAAATGTTCTAAATGCTTAAAACGCCTCGAGAAAAATGAGTGCACATCGGCTCTCTGGATGAGTGTTCTTTATCAGTTTGCAAGCCAAGCGATCATTGTCAATACTCTTTCTATCGCTTCCTCAATTCGGATCTCGAGTCCTCATTAACCCTGACGTCAAACAAAGATGCTGGCTATATCACAGCGGTGTATTGGGACGAAGTGATGCAGCGATTGTCGTGTCTGAAAAAGCTCGGTGCTATCCGATTCAGCGGAAACAACCTATGACTTCTTTAAAGGAAAGTTCTGCAATATTTCGGTTATCTATATGCTCTTGCTCAGTACGATTGTTGTGCCGCTATTGGAGGAATATAACGTTGTAAAAATAAAATTGAGCAAATAAAATAAATGTAAAAAACTTAATATTTATGAGGACTTTTTTAAGAAAGTCTGAAGGAGAGGGTAATATATGGAGAAATATAGAAATGGGTATCAGGGATAGGTATGCTCTTTCCTGCAACAGCACCACTTTCTTCAGCAGTCATCCTTGCCATGATAAAATCTTTTTCATTGAGTTTTTGAATAGCTTTAAGCTCAAAAAAATTTCAGGTGGAATAACTACATGCAGATCTTTTCGATAAAAATGCCTCTAAAGAAGGTAATTAGCCAGCTTCACAGAAATGTTGCTCTACTTAGCCGGGAGAGCACCAGCGCCCACCTATTTTCGCCGTCAAGTGACTTACTAGCAAAAATCTTCGTTAAAGCATTAATAGCAAATGGAACAAGCCTAATTAGGAAAATTGAAAGGCATTGCCATTTACCTGTTCCACTTGCATTCAAAATTACTTATCTCATTCGCATTGTATGATTAGTTTCAACAAAGAACTAGAAGAAAAATTCCGCTATCATTTATAAATTCTATTTTGGTTCAATTAACCACAAATTTAATCAGCTGCAAAAAAAAGGACCATTTGGAACCACAAAGATCCTCTATTGGCCTCAAAGACTTTATTGAAACCAAAAAACAAACTATCCTTTGAAATGAATCAAAATTTCCATAATCCTATATTATTTCCTTTAATCAAATTTGGAAACAAAGTGAAAAAAAAAGAAAAAAAAGAAAAAGAAAAAGGAATAGAAAAATACTTTTAAATAATTTTCTATATAAAAATTGAAATAAAATACCTAATTAAAATATTGTTATTGTATTAAAATATTTTTTATTGTTATTTAATAATATTAATAATATTAATAATAGCTTTGATAATACTTAATTTTATAATAATTAATAAATCAATTAAGGCAATAATTCTAGTAAATTATTGTGTTGGAAATAAACAAATAGGATGAATAGAGGCATGGTTGCCGTGCAGATTTGCAATTGAAGATATATACTAAAATATTTTATGCTTATTTTGTAAAAAAATTTATACTTATTTGAGATAATTTATGTTTATACTTATTTATAGCTTGAAGACGTCTTATACTTGTAGCCAACAGGGATATCCTAGCCACCAGTGGTGAGGATTGCTAGAAGAAGAAAGTGAATCTCTCCAAATGGATTCGATTCAGTTCGGTTTGATTCGGTTCTGCTCTGATCGTTCAACCATAAAATTTACAATAGTTTCCAGAAAACCCAAATATATGGTTCAGTATATTATTGTAAAAAAAAACCATCAGAGACCACTTTAATAATCTTTCAATTTTAAAAAAGTCGAATAAAACGAGAATGAAACTAAAATAATGGATTTTTTAAATGAATACTGGAAAAGTTTCTTTCCTACGTATTATTGAAAACAGCAAAAATTGCGAGAAGAGTTAAGAGATTGCCTCATTAATTGTTGCATATGTGCCATATTAACCCAATTTTAATATTACTTACAATTTTATTAAGTCTTATCATTCGAAAAATTTTCATAAGAGGAAAAATGAGTAATATTTTAAAACATAAAGTGAAGTGGTAGCCGATTAGACATACTGTAGATCAGTATCGTATTATTGCACCTAAATGATTCTCTGGTGAATCTGGTTTCATTCTAGTGAAGAGAAGTCAATAGATAAAGTCTAATAAAAAATGATTATTAGACTTGCAGAAAAAAAAAAAAAATTATAAAGTTAATTATAAAATTATAAAATAATTATAAAATTATAAGCTATTGAGCAAACTTATATTTTTGAGAATAATTTTGATAAAAACTAAGTATTTGATGAGAATATTTGCATATCAACAAATTTTGAACAAAATAACGAAAATCTATTCATCGTTATATTATTTATCATTATTTATCACTATTTTATCATGGGTAGAATAAAGTGCCATATTTATGATAATTTGAACAGGTGAAATTAGTTTGAATCCTTTATTAGATAGCAAATAAAAGAATAATTTTGGACGCATAAATTAGTAGAGATGCTTGCTCTATTACTCATTCTCGCTTTTCTACACAATGTTGATTCGATAGGTGTGCAGTTAAATAGATGCCTTGCTTCATCGTTGCCTGCTGTTCCTCGACCATGGCCACATCCATCAGCTTGTAAAGATAAATATCCAGTCATTTGCAACTCACTTTTTTCACCTCTTCCTTCGGACCTAACTCATAACTCAATTATGTAAGTTATATTTCAACATGATTCTCCTCTAAATTTCTATCAAATCTTATCATTACAGGACAAATCCTTACTTGGTTAATCCGAATTGCCAAAATTCGACACTTTTGGCAGCTGCTGAAATGTTATGTCCATCATCGTGCGCCTTGTGTTGTTTAACACCCGACTATAAGTGTAAAAACTGTTAGCTTTTTCTATATAATGTATGCTTAATATGAGTAAATTATAAATCTTCAACGTTTCTATGGAGAAGGAATGAATTTTTTTAAAATATTTCATTTTTTTATTTCAAAAATGCTTTGTGCTTCAGCCGCTCCATCTTGCTCTGCGTTCTCTCACAAACCAGAAATGTGTACAGATCCACAAACTGCTGCAGAGGCATTGAATGGATGCCCAGCGACCTGTGGACTGTGCACTAAGCCTGGTGCTAATGGTGTTTGCTCAGATACTCCAGGTGCACCTTGTGAAGAGTTAAAACCAGCATTGTCGTGCTATAATAAATATATGAGACAAAACTGCATGCGAACATGCAAATTTGACGATTGCGTTCGTAAGATTTTGAATATATTTTACATAATACTGAAATTCTTGCTAAATTTCATAACAAGCAGTATATCATTCTTTTTAAAAAATTATATTCTTAAAATTGTAATTATTATATAGAAGCATTGGTTCCATTCTAATGCAGCGGAAATGCTTATTTAAGAAATTTTTTAATTATACAATAAGTGTTGGTAAAATAATAGGGAATTCTCTGCATCAACAACTCACCTTTGATTAAATTATTCAGGTCATTTGAATAGAATTGGCTCCATTTTAATCAATACATATGTTCCTCCATTGCCAGGTAGCAAAAATTGGCTTAGCTATATTTACAGTCAGTAAGCTGGCCAAACCAGAAATGATGAATGCTAACGCTTAATTTTTATTTTAATTTTTCCCCAATATTTTACTGGCTTTTCTCGAAAGTCTTAGAAAATACCGTAATAATCAATTTCCCGGTTCTCTAGAAAAAGATATATTGCTGAGAACGATATAAAGAGAAAGAAAAGAAGAGATCGACCTGCCAAATGGATAGGTTCAATTACTTGTACGCACCTCTAATAATCTTGTAAGATCACCTTGGGGGTCATGGAAATCATCAATCTATATGGTCGTTAGGAGTCGAAAATGATTTCACATAATCAATCGTCATCAATAGTCGATAATATTATTTTTGAACGGAGAAATTTCAACGGAGAAATTTGTTTTTTTTTTTACTTTACAGAGTTAATAAAAAATTTCAGAAATATTTAACTATTTAGACGTTTGAGTCGTTTTTTGTATTAAATAAAATAATTAGAGAATAAATTTTTTTCATAATTATTTTTGCATTAAGAAAGCCCAAAACCAATGGTGAACAAAACAGTTGTGCATAGACGATTTCATTGTCTAAGACAAAATCCTTACTTGCTACTGTGCCATCGCAATGGAAAAAAACAATTGGTAATCGCAAGTAAATTCGAATAATTTTAATTTTATCGATCGAAAATTTTTTATTTTAATTTTAAAAATTTGTATTTTTAATAATTTTGATAATTTGTGTAAAATTGGTATTGTAATGAAAAAATTTATGCAATTATCGATGATATTTAAATAAACATAATGAAATTTTGCGAATGATTATTGTTGATAAAACTTAGCGAAAATACATTTTATTTATTTTGCTTTATTTTTGGAAAAATTTTTGGACTCAGCAAGAATTTAGTGAATCTATACAAATTTATGCAAATATGAGTTATAAAGCGTTATCGCAATATGAAGCATAGGGAATAGAATGGCTGAGTGGGTTCTTGCTTGATTCGGAGCGTCGATGCTGAGATTCTAGTCTCTGTAAGAATAAACCTCTCTAAAAATCCAGGTGATGCTGTTAATTTACCTGTATTTCATCGCCAGGGGATTCCCTATAGCAGTGGAGCGAGTCTAGCCATTAAAGGCGAGGACTTTAAATAAAATTGTTTATTGTTAAGTTAAAATTTATATTTGATAAAAGATTAAGAAAAAGAAACTGAAGAAACAAGAAATAATAATCTTATCACTTATAATAATCTTATCACTTTTGGTCTTGATAATCTGATAATCATGTTGACTATTATATTGTATTTTAATTTTTAATTTTTTGAAATTTGCGTCAGAAAATTCGTCAGAAACAATTTGTTACTGCGCTATCAATAATAGATAATAAATAAATGAAAATTTTTATACTCATTTATTTCATCGTTAAAATTATTTTTGCATTATTATGTAGCGCAATTAGTCAATTTTTCCTGCGATAAAATTTACGACTTAGAAGGACGTGAAAAAAGCTTACTTAAGAATTAATTAGGACAGAATATAATAGGGGATAGAATAAAAACAAACAGCGACGTTTGGTGCAGAAGCCTAAGCATTTTATTTATATATATATATCGGCTCCCAGGAGCTCTATAAATCCTTTTGAGGATCTCTGGTGTAATTTCAAATTCAAAAAGAGCAAAAGAGAACGATACTATCACAATCTTAGTATAATTATGAATGACATCCAAAAATCGGTTTGCTTTAATATATCCAGTGATTAAACACTTTCTTATAAGCTTTCTCGTTCTAAATAATTTGTTTTTTTCAAACACATTAATATCAATATAAATAAATGCAAAAGGCAACTAAAGAATTTGCATTATTAAAGGTTTTTTTTCAATTTGCTAATGGTACGAGTGATTGATTGTTCACATGAAAATTATACATGGCTATAAAGAAATTGTTGATTATAGTTGCCATAAAATTAACCAAGAATATGGTTTAAATTATGGTTCAAATATGATCATCTTCTTCTAACAGCTCTCACCAGTTAGGTTGGCTCCAACGGCTACAAGGATAAAACGCTTCCAAGCGACGCAGCCTGATGCTATCGTCTATAGAAGTAATAGAAGCCATTCCTTTTTCCGTAGTCTAAGTCTATTATTGCTGGTCCACCTATACGTCCAAAATCTTTCTTGACCGTATCAGTCCAGGTGTTGATTGGCCCACCTCACTATTGATGCCAACCATAAAAGAATTTAGCAAGTAACAAAACATCTGTGAAGAACTTGCCCTAACCAGCGAAGACAACGCTGTGATAACATTATTAATGAAAGTGGCATTGAACGAAGGTGGATGCGATCATGCGATTTTTTCATTCCGCTCGACGGATCCGTAAAACGTATCTTAGACAGAGTGGTCAAAGACAGATAACTTCTTAATATGATGGTTGAGTTTATTTCGGAAACACTTTTTTTATCCTCCATTTCATAAATGTATGCAACGATGTATATGTGCAGATAATAACTATATTGGAAATGGCACTAAAATATATAGATTTCATTGAACTTCCAAGCATAATCAAGGTTATATAATTATATAACAAGTTAATAAATAATTAATTTCAATAAATTTTACCAAAATGATCTAAACCAATTATTCAGTGAAATAAGTAAACATCAATAAATTTCAATTTATAAAAAATTCATTTTAAAAAGAAATTTTCTGATTGATATTAAAACCCTAAATATTTGAACGAGTAAAAAGGAGAGATGAAGGAGAGAGAGAGGAGATTCCTTGGAAAAATTTCTAAAAAACCTGTGAGAATCTTTTTAATTTAATTTTTAATTTAACCATAAAAAATCTTTTCAAAGTGAAAATTTTGTAAAGCACGGTGAAATAATTTTTGAAAATATTCTATTACTCTCTTACTCTTAATTACTTATAATTATAATTACCTATAATTACTCTTAAAAATAGGCTTATAATATACAATAATAATTTTCATTCAATGAATTTATATAGCCGGAAAATTAGTTATATTTATGGCCGAGAAATTATTGATTGTACATATTGCTAGGGTGCTTACTGTATATATGGCCAAGAAAATACTAATATATATATGTTTATGATATCAGAAATCATTTTCGAAATGCTTCGTTTTCCATATTCATACCCAATTTTCCAATATACACAAGCGACGTGACGTGTAAACGACGTAAACGTGAACGTGTTTAATAAATATGTATCTTGGAAATGGCAGAAAATGTATCAAAAAGGACATTTCTTGAACAACGAAATATAACTAAGAAAAATTAAAGTAACTAATTAATAATTTATGCATTGTATAATATTAATTTCAATGATAAATTAATTTCTAGCAAAATTCTAGTAAATTAATTTAAATCTATTAATAAACCAAATAAATAAATAAAAAAATTAGTAGTATTAGTAATGAATAAAAAAATATTTAAAAAAAACTGACGTAGGAAAATAATGCAAAAAAATGCCAAATCTTCGATAGCAACTTTTGAAAATTATAAAATTATTCTAATTATTTTTGAGTGAATAATCTAAAAATAATTAATTAGGATAATTAATTAAAGTAATTAAAGTAATTAATAATAAGATGAATAATTCGAGCAATAATTATAATTCAACCACAAATTTCTTTCACATAAATTTTACACAAATTTTACTCAAATCGACAATATTTTTTAATAAAACCTTATTGGACACCAAACTTTCCTCTGTTCAAAGCTCATTGGACAACGATGCGGTGCTAATTTGATGAAAAACCTTCTTAATAGCCTCATTTTATATCTTTAAGGAAAAAAGGAGTTAGATTCCCATTTCTCTAAAATCTCTTTTTTTTAAAAGTTCGCATTAAGCAGGAAATTTGAAATCTTGATTTTTACCATTCGATAATGGATAAGTAATAATTCAGTAGAATAAATCGAAATAACTCTAAAGCCAATCCGTTTTCTGCTCTTCTTGCAGTTGGTTAAAAGGAAAAATGCTAATATTCATTTTATTTCGTCAAATATTCTACACAATGATCTTTACCAATATTTTAGTTTTAGCTTTTCTGGTTTTGAAAATCCATGTAATATTTCTTTTTTCGGAACAGCGAAATCGATTCGCTTTTCGATGCTTGATAATTTTTTATTTCGGTGATTAAACAATGCCGAATATAAATTTTCTTTAAAAAGAATAGGTCTTTCCAGAAGACATCAGTCCGTAGTGGTTAAATTATTGCACCTCACCCAATATAGACTGAAGCCTGAATAGTCAGGCTTTATTCGATTCTTTAGATTAGCCCAGTAAGCTAAGCTTATTTTAGTTTTCACAGTTGGTTTAAAATTCTATTAGCTCATTTGAATTTATTCATCGAATATTAGATCAAATCACCAGAGAATCACCTGAGAGCAAAAGAGATAGTGAATAGCCGCCAGCATTGCTCGAATTCATAACTCACCCACTAGGGATAAATGAAAATAATTTTGGATAATTTTTTGAAAGGATTCAAATCAGACAAAAAAAAATTTGCTAAAATTTGCTTATTAGAGTGTATTTAAATGAATTTTATTAGAGTGTATTTAAATGAACTGAAATTTCAGAAAATAATTTTCTATCATTCCAAAAAAAAATATCCAATCTTCGAGATAAAGTACCAGAAATAAAAAATAAAAAAGAAATAAAAAAGTACCAGAAAAATCTATTTGAAACCTCCGAAGAAGAAGTATTCCGAAGAAATATGGGATACACTCAATGCAAATTCGCATGCAGTAAAATATTGTATTGTTTTTATTATATATCCGAAAATGGTTTTATAAAATTTGTGCACTGGATTATCTAAATTATTCCAAACGAATTTCTTACCATAGATT